TCGACTGATTCACTTAACTCCACTGAGCCCCCTGGCGACTGCTACTACTACTACTTATTATATCTGGGAGAGTCTATTAACAATAGAATAGGTATGTTCCGGTATAACACCATTGTAGCTCTAAGCAACGTTTGACTCTTTATCATCATTTTTACACTTTACACAATCTCTGTTTCCCTGTGCTTTTCCTGTTTTAAGAAGTCAACTGATTAATAAATAATCTAGGTATTCTTTCCTCATTCTAAGTCCAAGACATTTATTCTGTTTATGAATGTAATTATAAGTTACTGTTTTTTTCCTAAAACCTTTCGCCTTGCATAGTGTTCAGTTAATGGTATCTTCATCATCCGTCGATAAAACCAAAATCCACATCACTTGAAATCTATCCTTCAGGTATGATGAGATTTTTCAGTATCGACTACAATATAGGAGACTAGTCATTACATACCAGATGAATACACTTCTCGCAATTTGCACTTACAATGCTCTATCACTTAATAGTGGAAGGGATATTTCGTCATTCCTATGCAACATCGGATTTTTGTGTCATGATTTTCGGCGTCAGTTATGACACTGCCGAGATAAATAAATTGCAGTGTCTGCTTTATTCGAGCGATCAGAATGTGTAGCTGATCTCTTGCAATGGAATTTTGCTGACAATCCTGGATTCTATCTTAAATTAATTGTTATTCCTCTGTTCTTGCTATCATTTATTAACTTATCCAAGAGTTATTTAAGTTTTCCTTCTGAGTTCGCCATCAACACTGTGTCATCTCTTATGTTATTAAGACAATGTCCACCAATAATCAAAAATTATAGAAATTATAGTTCTCTTACGCCTATCTCGCTTCTTTTATTTATTTATTTTTTTGTGCCGTATCCCTTTAGCTCGGGTGTGACCATGGCTCTACATTTTCCCCTTTCTATTATAGCTCTCGAAACGTTTTGTCTCTTTGCTACTTCCGCCAGGCCATGTTCTGTTATTCATTTGCTTAAGCCCGCTAGGTATGTCAGGTATTGCTTTCCTTTGTAGATCTTTCGCTCTATTTGCCTTGTGAGTATCAGATTCTCCAAGCCCTCCTTTATCATTACGTGTCCGAGAAATTTCAGCTGTGTCTCCCTGATGTTAAGTATAAGCTTCCTTCTTGTTTGCATCCTCTCCGAAACCTCATCGTTGCTCACACGCTCTGTCTTAGGATCCTTCAGCAGGGCCATACATCCGCCGCCTCGAGTCTCCTTTTCATCTTTCGGGAGGCCATCCAACATTCGCTGCCGTAAAGGAGGACAGATGTTGTTTAATACTGTCCATTATAAACAGAGCATTTACTTTCTATCTATAAAAAGAATGTATAAACATAAAAATGTCTTAATATATATATATATATATATATATATAATAGTAGGAACTGATAATTTCTCGGTTTCATTCAATACGCTAGATGTTTCATCGGTAACGTTTCTTTGTCGGATCTCGAAATGATGTGTTATGTTACAACACTAACTTATCTTTGGCAAATGGTATGTTTTGTTATCACACGAGCTTCTTTGCAGGGTGATATTTTCTGTATTCTTTTAACCCGGTCTGTTATTATTCTGGCAATATGAAAACTATATTCTGTTTGCACACGATATTCCCATCAGCAGAATGACTTTGTTATTCAAAATATTTTGTAAAGTGCGAGAAAACTTCCTTGTTTGTCGTGATAAGGTTAATTGTCTTCCATTGAACATATATGTAACAAGGCAGGACGACACCTGGCGGGTTTGATTATATTAATGTTTAGAAACATCAGTGGGTAGCATACCATATGCGCTGTGGTATTTCCTCATACATGGGAGGGGTATGTGTTGGAAACGAGAGAAAACGGATTCATTCAGTCGATGATTGAATGAATTATTGTGAAGAAAATGACAAGTTATGTATATGTTATATATTGCAGGCTCTGTCAAGTAGAAAAACTAACGATTCTCAAAAAAAAACTGGTAAATAGGAAAGTGGAAGATAATCAACGTATGCGTTGAAATTATTCTTACATGATATGTCGCTTAACTTAGATTACACTATAACCTTTGAATTTGCGCGATTGTACAAAGTATTTGATTGGTGATTTGATTTTTGTTCACTATTAGGCAGGAAATTGTATTAGTTCGTTATCAAACAGCATTTTACATTTTATTCATGCTTTTATCTATCTATCTATCTATAGATAAACAGATAGATAGATAGATAGATAGATAGATAGATAGATAGATAGATAGAGAGAGAGAGAGAGAGGGGGGGAGAGTGGGTGAAGTAATAACATAGAATTACTAATGTTTATTTAATTTCATAATGATAATAGAATATTTTAGCTCGAATTCTGAAGACTTGTAAATAAATAATCGTCATGGCGGCTAGAGTCTCTCAGATTCGCCTATTTAACATGTCGATTTTCATATATTTTCCCTCGCATCCTTATGAAAACTAGATTGTCTCTTTTGCAAGACGTGGGACCTGCTTATAACATCTGGTTCATAAAATATATTTCAAATTTTTATGGGGATTCAATTTACAAATTGACATTTAAATGTTTTTTTTTAATTTATTTTATAGCGTAATGATCTTGACTTTTTTTTTAACCATTTCGCCGCAAGCATGGCAGAAGTGCTATTAGCCCGCAAGGAGTTTGAGAGAGTGAGAGCAAGAGTAAAGAGGTGTTTTTAAGGAAAGGATATAGAGAAGGACGGGGAACAAGATCAAGACATCGGAATATGTCGATTGACATTACATTTGAATATTTGAAGATTATAGATATCAGAGAAGCAAGTAAGGGGAAGGGAGTTCCACTGTCGGGAAGTGCGAGAGAAGAATCTGTTGAAGAGGCCTTAATGTTTAAGTGTTTCGACAGTGAAATGATTGGACCGAGACGCCAACCTAGTAGCACGCTTAAATTCATGCAGTTGGAGCTTCCAGTGAAAATAGCTCGCCATGAAAATATTTGTCGAAAAAGCATAGCGAAGCCACATCACGTCTGTGAGAAAGTGGTTGTAGACGAGATGTCAGATCAGGTCCTATAACATTGCATATTCGTCTCCGGATTTTGTCGAGGAGCTCGAGATGAACAAGGGGCACACTAGACCATATATGGAAACAGTATTCAATGCAAAGACGAATGGTTGATTTGTAGATTTGAAGGATGGACTTCAAACGAGAAATACCTTGTAGCGCGTCATAGACAATCAAATGGTTTTGCTTTTGTGATATGAAAAATAAATTTTGAACGAGAAACATTTTGTAGAACTACTGAAGAGAATATGTCATGAATTGATTAAAACTATGTTTTTTTTTCTTTCTTTTATCAAAATTCTTGATCTTACTGACAAGCTAAACACACGTCTTTCAGTGAATGTTTCTGTTTTCACCGACGAGAAAGGGAAATGCTGGCGCATGCGCAGATGACTTCCTGAGGAAAACCACAAAATTCTCCTTTTAAAAAAATCCTAATTTGCTTGAAAACAAAGCTTGGATTAGATGTGTTGCGGATACTTCTTGGAGCTTAATGATTAAAAAAATGTATTTGTGTGTAAACTGCGGAAAACGAATAGAAAACATTAAACATAGCTTTTAAGAAAAATGTGCTGCCATGTGGAGAGTGATAGATAACGGTTACGTATGAGAACTCAGAGTCGATTTCGAATTCCATTCGGTTTAATTACAATTACTTTAGTTTGTTTTACGGTATATCAACCTCAGTGGGTTATTTAATACTGACAAGAATTTTATTTCTTGTAATCTGATAGACAAAATTTTAGTGCCATTAAACGGTTTTTTACCTGTTTCTTATTTTTTTAGGTACCACATTTCGGGGATGTTATAATTTAGCTCGAGGTGTCATTATTAATTGCTGGCTAGTACTTGTTTTTAATATTCTAACTATAGTTGTGTTTTACCGATAGTCTGCAAAGTGGCATCGAGCTTCCAATCATCAGTAAGCTGTGCGTCGAAAATAAGGTCCAAACGTTTGGCAAAACATAACCTTTCCTCCCTTGAACTTATACCAACTGAATTAAGAGAGAACAGAACTAACCACACCAATACTATATTTCATTTTTCATGATCTCGTAGAGCCATATTAGCTATTTCTTACCTATATTGGTTTTTATAAGTAATAATATCTTTGAGAAATTATATTAGATGAAGTTTTCAAAAATCATCCATTTATTAATAATATATTTTTCTCTTAAGTTCAGTCGCTGTATCTTTTTTTTTAATTATTTCACCCCAAGTAAGGCAATAAAGCCACTAAGACGCAAGCGGTTACTGAGTGTTAGAGAATATGAGAAAAACAACACTATTAAGGAGAAATAACAATAAAAGATCAAAAAGTAAGAAGATAGAAGATAACGATTGATATTGCATTTAAATTTTTAAAGATTAAAGTTGACTGGGAGGCAAGAAGTCAGAAGAGACATTCTAGATTGTCGAAGATTAAAAAAGAAACCGTCTGCATAATTACATCTGCTCATTTCAATAGTAAAAAGATGAGATGCTAAATATCGCTAATCCAATGATGCGCTTAAATTCATAAAATCTAATTACGATAGAGGAAAGTTCATCCGAACAATTACGATGAAAGTATTTAGAGAAATGGCACAGAGAGACTATATTATGGCGGTGGGGAAAATGACTGAAGTCGAGGTGCCAGGTTAGGACCAGTAACACTGCAGAGTCTTTTTTTGTATTTATCAAGAATTTCTAAATACGTAGCAGGGGAACTTGCCTAGATGTGGCAGCATTATTCAAAACAAGGACGAATTGTGGACATATTTAAGATAGATTCTATCTAGAAAAATTGTCTAATATGACATAGTAAACTAACTTTCCTTGCAGCAGACGACCTTTTGTAGATTAATAATTCATACCATCTTTCTTTTTATGTTTAGGAGATAATGCAGCTGTTTAATTGATATTATGACGTAAGCATAAATAATAAAACCTCTTTCCTTGATGTTCTTAGCAAATGTCAAAAGTCAGTTTTATTTCTTCACAGTATAAAAAGACGATAAGTAAAAATGCGTATCTCCTCATGACTGTTCTTAGGGTTATAAAATGACCGTTATAAAAACAGGCTTAACCAAGCTAAAAAAAATCCTCATGGGATACATTACTGCCTAAAGAATTTAGGTTTGGATTGGTTTGTTTTAAAGAATATCAACCTCTGTGGGTTATTTAATGCCGACAAAATTTTTATTGCTGGTAATATAATTTGATCCAAAAATATTTTTTGGTAATATTTTTTTCCAAAATATATTGCTGGTAATTTTTTTTTGAAAAATATATTGCTCGTAAAAAATATCCCCAAATGTATTGCTAGCATTAAAAACTATTTGTATATTTTCATAGTGTTTTGAACCCTTTTTGTCCATAACTCGGACCATGATAAGTGCTACCATCCTGTGTCAGGGTGAACCTGGGAACACCAGCCACTAAAAGGTTGTTCAACGCTCCTCAAAACCTACTGATCAAAAGACTTGCTCTTGGATCTAGTTTATGTTCTTACCCAGGACGCAGATGTAGTCTATCCAGGACGGAAAGAATTTAGTAACATACAACAAACACTTATCGAAAATATTTTCACCAAATATATCGTCGACGATCAAATAAAATTAACTATAAATCATTTTAGAAAATAATACAAAAATTATCCTGATATATAAAAAAGGAAAACAACACCATTAACTTTTTTCTATCATAACCAGATACGCTTTAACTATAAACAAGATGAAAAAGCCATTAAGATTTTTCGTACAATTCACTAAATGCTTCAATTACATAGATCAGATTGACCATTTCCCATGAAACGTTTAAATAGTTTAACCTAATTATTGAAAATAACACGGGAGCTATAATTTCCCTTTGTGTATAAAAAATGTATTCACATATTCTTTGGCAGGATACATATTTAGAATCAATAATCATTTAATCATTGATCACACAGGCACAAAATTTTCGCGTAGTTTAACTTTCAACATGTTGAAGCAATTCGGACATGTTTTAATCGCCACAGCACAAATAACCAAAATAGAACTACTAACATCACGAAATATTTGTCGAGAATACAAAATACAACATAATACTAACTACATGGAAAAACTTAAAATACACAAGTTTATCGTAATACAAAAGAAATAACCCACATTAAAGAAGATATTGTTCACAACAGAATTCAATATCTATGTAAGTTTATTCTTATTTATGTTATTTTCTTTTCATCTAAGTTTCTGTTTATTAATCTAAGTTTCTTTTAATCTATCTATCTATCTATCTATCTATCTATCTATCTATCTATCTATCTATCTATCTAAGTTTCTTTTGATCTATATAAGTTTTATGTTTATTAATCTAAGTTTCTTTTAATGTAAGTTTTTTTCCATCTATCTATCTATCTATCTATCTATCTATATACGAGTATATTTTCTTGTAAATCGCTAAGCAAGAAAAACCAAAAGTATCTATTCAGTCTAAAGATGTTAATAGGATTACTATTACTAGTATTAGTAGGATTAGTAGTATTAGATGTATTCGTAGAAGAAGGAGCATATATCTGCAATCACGTTTAAAGATTTTGCATCAAAGGAAACAATGCGTCAGTTACTTCCAGTTTCTAATGCCCTGTAAGTAAAGCGAATCAATGGATGATATTGCAGATATCAATGCTGTATTTCCTGTTTAAAAACGATCTAAATAATTTAAAACTTTAATTTGTTAAAATAGGCTTCCTTTTTCTTGAAACTCCGTCATTTAATCTAGAAATTCCAGGCTTAATTAGATCTTCTTCCGTTAGACAAATGAAATATTAATTAAAATCTAATAATGATTCCAGAAATGGGTAAGTTTACCGCTTCGTGATTTACACTATGATGCTAAAGTCGAAAATAATAGAAAATTTTAGAAAAAGAACCAAGTCTAAAACTTTTGAACTTTTCCACTAGTAATTATCAAATCCAGAATAGATTGGTAAGTACAAAATCCGAAACATTTCGACAACAGTAAATTTCTCTGTATACATACTTCTAATTTTGTTGTTGTTCGCGTTGTTATTCTTCTTCTTCTTCTTCTTCTTCTTCTTCTTCTTCTTCTTCTTCTTCTTCTTCTTCTTCTACTACACTTCCTCCATTTCTTTACCTCCTTCTCATCATCATCATCCTTCATTTCCTGTTCTTTCTCCTCCTCCTCTTCTTCCTTTTTATTCTCTTTCTCCTACTTCTTCTTTCCCTCCTCTTCCATTGCCTCCGCCTTCTAATCTCCTCTTCCTTTTCTTTTCCACCTCCTAACCATATTCTTCTTCTTCTTCTTCTTCTTTTTCTTCTTCATCATCATTATTAACCTTATTCGTTTCTTCATCATCATCCTTCTTCTCTTCATCATCATCATCATGGGACTTCTTCTTCACCTCCTCTGCATTCGCCCTATTCTTCTTCTCCTCCTTCTCTTTGTCCTCCTCCTCTTTCTTATCATCATCATCATCATCATCATCATCATCATCATCATCATCATCATCATCATCATCCCCCCATTCTTCTTCTTCTTCTTCTTCTTCTTCTTCTTCTTCTTCTTCTTTGTGTCACCTGCCTTCTAATCTTAACAATTTCCTCTCCTTGGAATTTTTTAATACATTTTGTCTTTTTGTTATCTCTGCTAAATACTCAAGCTCACTGGGTAGGTAATGATTTATTTTCTTCTGTTCCTCTTGCTTTCATTCTGTCATGTGAGTATCAATTTTCCCAAATCCTCTTGCCTCATTATGTGCCATAGAAATTTCAACTGTCTCTTATGTAATGTATATGTTATATATATATATATATATATATATATATATATATGTCCTTTTTGTTTCCATTTTCTCTAAAACTGTATATCCTTCATCACTGTGGCGCATAGGGTCTGAATCCTCGAATAAATTGGAAAATTCTGGCTTTCGCGACCCCCCTCCCAATAGTTTTAGGGATAGGTACAAGTGATATTTCGAAGAAAAATCAGTATAATAAAATATAAAGATCAATGCAAACTATTAAATCATCGGAGAAATCTAATAACGAAATGTAGGCATAGATATATATTCCAAATTACATAAGAATACATGTGCATATATCTGGGGGTTTATGTGTACGTATAGTGGCATATATGTATGGACATGTAAATGTACATATATGTATGTATGAAGATATATACGCATATAAGTATTTTGGACAGCATGATTTATTCTATCGGCTGCTCGGTTATTACACACAATTTATAAACCTATAACTCAACTAATTTACATTAATCTTAACGGATTTAAATCCTTCATCATTTATTCATAATATTGGACACGTGTAGTACAAAAACTATTTACTGTGAATCCGAGAAAAACACATTCCGGGCCTGTATAAGAAATGGCACATAAGGAACTGATATTAAAGTACAAACAAGAAGATTTCTGGCCATAAATAAACTCCAACCTCAGACTGCATCCCCTGGGATAATATATCTACGCTCCCACCATTTTTTTTTGTTTTTATCTTTGTTGGATTCTTTCTTTCGCATTTTTCCTTCTTTTTTTTTTGACTTTCATTCCACCAATTCTTCTTTTTGTCTTTTAGTAACCTTCTGTTCTCTTTTTTATTCGGTATTTCAAGTTTTGTTCCGCTAATAGATTTTACATTTTTTATTAACTCTTTTTTCTTTCGATTCTTTTTTCTCTTTTCTTTAAACATTCCACCTTTTCAAGTTTCCCTTCCTGCCATCATTATTTCATTCATTTTCCTTTCACCTTTTACTCCTTCCTTTCTTTTTTACTTCATTAATTCCGCTCTTTCTTCCGTTGCTTCTATTTCATTCTCGCTCAATACAGCTTCTTTCTTTCTTTTGTTTGTTTGTTTGTTTGTTTGTTTCTTTCTTTCTTTCTTTCCATTATTGTATCGTTCTTATTTTCCATGTTTCCAATCTGCTTTATTTATTTCGCTTCTACCACCCTATCATTCATTCTCCCTTCCACCCCAGCGCCATATTTCTCTTCCAGTTTTTTTTTAATATTTTTTGGACGATGTCTCATTTTTGCTTTCACTTATTGTTTAATTACTTTAAAACTCAAGCCATTTATTCACCGGAGAACGAAACCAAAGAAGTTTTTTTTTTCACTCATTTATTGGAAATGTATATTTATTCATTGCAAATCGAGTTGATATTCTGAGTCAGGCCAAAAAGAAAACGTAATTCAAATCCCTGCAATTTTTAGCCCTAAACTCTCACTTAAAAAAACAGCAAGAGTAAAATATTTCTTCAGATGTAAATTATGTCTTTTCTTTCCTTCAAATTAAAGCAAAAATTCACTTTCATCTCCAACTTCATGAACGGAAATATTTTGGTCAACATCGCATAGTTGATTGATTGCTTTGTTTCTTTAACGACATATCAACATCCTTATGGGTCATTTAATACCGAAATTTAATTTTCTTGATAGCTTTGAAGTAATTACACAATTCTACTATAAATAGGAATTGTTGGTATTTTTATTATGAACATATATTTGCAATTTTAACATAAATTGGTATTGTTCGTAATTTTATTTACTTAAATCGTATTGCTGTTTTTTTATCATATAAATGCATTTTTATACTTTCATTGTATTTTTGTTTGTTTGTTTTTTGTGGTGTCAACTTTTTCCCCATAGCTACCACAAAGAGTCAGAGTAGACCTCGGAACAACAGCAATTAAGAGGTGGTTCCAAACGCCTCAAAACCTTCAATCTTCCGATCAGAGGCCTTGCTGTCAGATTTAGTTTATCGTCATACACAGAGCTATCAACATCACATCAAATAGTAGAAATGATTTACTTGGTTTGCTTTTTCTTTCCAGAAAAAAGTTACCCTATAAGAAATAACCTTCCCGGATACCTTTTTACTTGTCACTATATAAGTCATTATTATCATTTTTTTTTCTTCTGGTCACAGTCCGCAGGAAAGGACTTGTCAAATAATAACGAACAGCATAGAATAAAGAAAGAATTTTTTAAAAACTGATACCAATTTTATTGGCTTCATATGTGAAGATTATAGAAAAAAAAAAAAAAAGAAAACAGAGCATGTGCGAATGATCAGTTTGTATTTTTTTTAATGTTTGCAATGAAAAGGACTACACATGATCGATAATTTCTCTCGATTTTATTATGCAAGATATGGTCGTCATGCATGGCGTACAACTTGTTTAAATATGTCTAAACCATCAGCTACATATCACCTTTATGTCAGAACATTTATTTCTTTTTTATAGTAAGCTTTACCATTTACAAAGACCGGAGTCACTCGAGGTAGGGTGGTACGTTAAGGGGTACTATATACGGATAGGTGGGTAAAATTTGTACTGATCGGGGAAACATTCTCTTGGTAGTCTATTCCACAGAGCAATAGTTAATGGGAAGAAAATGTTTGAGTAGGATTTATTTCTCACCGATGGAAGACGGAGAGAACGTGAGTGATTTGCTAAAGTGAAGCTTATATCTGTCGGAAGTAAAGACTGTAGTTCGTCCAAGCACTTTCCATGGATGTAACTATAGAGTAGGTATATTCTCTCTACATTCCGCCTGCGAGAGACTAGTTGGAAGGGCGGAAAATACATTTTCTCTAGCAAGAAACCGGAGACGCTTTTGAACTGTATCAAGACTGGAAAGTGGGGCCTGGGCAGCCGAAAGATGACAACTGTTCTTAATTTTCAGTCTGATTTGGCTCTTATATAGGTATAGGATAACTTGAAGTGTCAGGTACTTACTAGAGCTGTATAGGGAGTCGATCATTTAATATTGATATGTTAGTCGAAAATAAAAAAAAAAGGTGTATGATTCCAATATACGTAACATTAAATTTAATAGAGGGTTCAATACATAGTTGAACTAAATATCATTTATTTTAGGACGTTAAAACATGTTAAAAATCGCTACACACTTACAAATCGTCATCATAAATGTGTCTCTTCAGGCGATGTTAAACAACTTACGAGTGACTTTCACTCGCCAGTAGTTTAAAAAGCTAAAGTGATTTATAATTATTATGATTACTGACTGACTTTATTTGATGCTATACAAGGCGCAGTCTTTAAAAAAAAAGATGGCTGAAATATAGGCTCAGAAACCTAAGGTCAGAAATGGCATCATATTTTCCACTGATCATTACGGAAAAAAAAAGAAAACCTGGTATCACACATATTCTACATACACAAAGTTTTGCGTAATGTGTAAGCTGTACATGTGAGTACAATCTTTTGTATTTCTTTAAGGCGTGGGCTACAAGGAATCCTTTCAATGTGTCTATCGGACAATTTTCCAATCAATCTGAAGGCTCCAACTCCAACTAGAATTATTAATATTTTCATGTGCCAAATTTTAAAGATTTCTATTTCAAGGTCCTTGTATTTTGATAGTTTTTAGAAGATCTTCAAATATACAGTCAACAGGGACTGTCATGTCAATCAGATGTCACATTCTGTCTTTATGAACACAGATCACGATGGCTGTGACATTAGCTTTGCTTGTTCTCTCTGTATGTATTGTATTGTATTGTATTGTAAAGTGCCATAAAATTGTTACAGGTTCCATCTAGGTAACCGGGTTTGGGTGATGTTCATACCAATTTCTTGCGGTTTCTTTCCCGTAGAAGTTGCAGATTTTCCAGTGCAGATATTGGCCCACTCTGCCATGAGATGTTTTATATATGGTGGATGCAAATACCGTCCCAACAGATAGGAGTTTGTCAAATGTTTCTGGATACTTATCACAGAATCTGCATTTTTGGTTGTTGAATAATACAGTCCGCTCAGAGATTATTCGACTAAGTACAGGGTGCGATGGAGAAAATTGTCGTCTAAATTATGCAAATCTGACCATAACGCTGACATCTCATATTAACAGATATATTTACTAAAATTACACAAAAATTTATTGATATAATAATGAGTAAATTTCTAAATATAATCGCCATTGGCTTAAGACTACGGCCTCCAGAAAACTTCGGAATCTCCTGCAACTCTTTTGGGCAGTCTCCTTATTTAAGTTGGTGAATACTGCTATAATCCTTGCCTTCAGTGTTACAAGTTGTTTTGTTGGTCTCTTGCTTACCTGTGCCCCACAAATAATAATTAAGTTGGTTGCCGTGTGGGAAGTTAGGTGGGCAGATGTAAGGAGTGATAGGGTTACACAGACTATCTAACGGCCATGAGTGGGTTCTCTTGCTTGTGTGGCATGGTACAGAGTCGTCCTGTCACCAGATATAAGATCTTCCAGCATGGACTCTTATGACCCAGGGCAGCACTACCTCTTTCAAACATTTGATGTAGGGCCACGTGTTAAATCTGAGACCATCACCATTAAATCCTGAGGTCTTTTCGTAATCACCATCAGACTCATCAAACTCTTTCCGAACCCTCTACACTGTCCCTAGATTGACACTATGAAATGTACCTATTGGAAATTCCGGCGCGAAGGCCAAGCAGTAGAGCCTGACCTTTCCAAATTCTGGTGGAGTGAATTAATCATGGTGCTCTTTTTCTCACAGATGGTGCCCAACTGACCCTACTATACTGTGCAGTCGACACAATCAAAAACAACGCAAATGCTAGAAAATAAAAATAAAATTGCAATAATTTACCCATTGTACCCTGTATGTTCTCACGTATCTGAACATGACCCCCAAATCACATGTATGACATCTCTAACAAGCGATAATAATTTCTCCTGTGTCTGCTATGAGATGGCGTTGTTCAGACGCTGCCAATCTGACTGGCCAGTTTTCTTTGATTCTTACTTAAAGGTATAGCGTTCGGAAATATAAAACATTTCGACAGTTCTTACACACCCTTTGTCCAGAAAAGAAAGCTCTTGTTCGAACACAAGAAAAAATAAATAAAAAGCTTAACCGTAGCATCTTGTCTGTCGTTTTTAATGAAACATGCATAAAGGAAGGATTGCCTATATATATATATATATATATATATATATATATATATATATATATATATATATGTAGAACATAATGAATTTTGGTCACATGTGATTTCATATGTTGAAAGTGTACCTATTGAAAAATGCAGCTGAATTTTGTTTCATCTTAATATCGAAATCTGGGAATGAATTGTTATTGTATGGATTTAATAGAACCCCCCCCACACACACACCAATCCTCCAAAATACGCCAGGGCTTTAAATCACGCAAGCATCACATCGACTTCAAAAGCACAAAGGAGCAAATCATACAGGAGTTGTAAAGTTTACACATGCTCATATTGTGAAGGAATTTAATATACCAGACTTTGTTGTTTGCAACTACTCAGAGTTTATAGCACAATGAAAACATTGCGCTGAAGCATTCAGGTTCTAAGCCCGTTGATATTTCAGCTGAAAGAAACTGTTGACGTTAGGATATAATATTAGATAAATAAAAGATGTCATATTTGCCTCAATATACTAAGATCATCATCGTCAGCATCAAGCACATACACTCGCATAAAATATGTAATGTTCTTATTTTTCCACATAAATTTTATAATGACCATATCATTTTCGAGAGGTAGCACATTCAACGAAACCAATATTTTACAATAAAGAGCTTAATATCAATTGATTCAAAACGGTCTTTTATATTAAAACACGCTCTGTCCCTGATATTGAGCCCTTTAATCCATACATATAGCATTACATTAATACTATATTTTTTTTTATGTTTCTATCATATATATATATATATATATATATATATATATATATATATATATATATATATATAAAAATATATATACATATACAAAATATATAAAAAAAAAGTATAAGAATCCAGGTAGAACTCAATGTCTTCTACCTGTATTCTTCTTGGAATTTTTTTTCTAAAAATATACATGTATGGGTATTTATATATTTTGTATATGTATGTATATTTTCCACTAATATTATCAATATTTACGATTCCAATGGAATAAATTATGACCATGGAATATTAGTGTTTAAGCCTTTTTATTATATATATATATATATATATATATATATATAT